CACTGGAATTTCTGTTCCTAGCTAGCATTAGCATTAGGTTCTACCTAGAGTGATCATTGGCATTGCTAAAGATGGTCAAATGACATGTTTTGTTGAAATAAATTAACACATCTTCTAAACCAAACTTAAATATGACGTATTTTTTTGCAATATTTAGTGCACAATTTCTGTTTACTTGCCGAATGTTACATATTGTAAAAATCAATTATAAAATGTGCCAACTTTTGCTTTTATTTTAGGTTTTATTTTTTCCAGTATGTTAAATTCACTAAATAAACAGTGATTGTACATTAACATTTGCAGAAGTGAGATCTCTGTAGAAGATATGTACTCATTTTCACTTTCACAAAATTGACAAAATATGGTATTTGACCAGGGGCACCCAAACTTTTGCATACAACTGTAGCTTATTATAATGAAGGGTAATCATTAAGACGTAAATTGGCTCCTCATTTTATTTTAAAAATACTTAAGAGTAATAAAACAGTTTTTTTTTAAGAATGCAAAGATAAGATATGATTTAACATGTTACATAGTCTGTAAAAATTAGATGACAGGAGGGCTTTTTACCCTGAGTACGGGTCACTGTCAGGGCAAGATGTCCCTTTATAACATTCTTATTTTAGTGGTATAAAAACTGATTTATTTCTTTTTTTACAATTTATTTCCCCTATACAACTTTTAAAACCCTAACAGATTTCTAAAATGAAGAGTATCACACACATCTGTCCAAAACAACATGAATAGTTTGTAACACTTGGCTCAAATTTCACACAAAAATCATGATTTTCCAGCTTGTTCTGGCTGCTGTGCTTGCACACATGTCTATGTTGAGGCGGGGCTTTTCCTGCTTGGGACATAAACAGCAAGCCGATTGGGTCTTTTTATTGAAGGGAGGGACATTCCTCGTAAACAAACACCAGTTGATGTTGAGCGTTACAAGCTTTTCCATTTATTTTCCAAGTGGCCAGTCTCCTCCTTTATAATGTTTCTAGTACAACACACATAACAAGTTTTGGCTATGAAAAGCACTAAAATCCCCAGAGTCCCCCTCCACCCACTTCCCCCCACCCCATTATCGCATGAAACAAGCACAGCTAAACTGGACCTGGCTTGTTTTTGCTTGTGTGTGGTTATGCACAGACAAAAAGCATTACAAAACCACAAACTGAGGATTAATATGGGGTTTAAATGCAGATACCACAATCAGAGCTGGCGAAAAACTTTGCTACGAACTGGCAGCTGGCTTCAAATTGTAAAGAGAGTGATAATTTTCATGAACACAAGCAGCTCTCCGCGGTCTGTGGCTCACGCCTCTCTTCACCTTAATTCTCCACTCCCCTAGCTCTCACATCGGTTGTTGCCTGAATATATTGCTGACCAGTCGGTCACTTCCGATCGAGCTACTTTAGATTGTGGAAATTTGTCAGACGGGACAAATCAGGGTTAAAATGGAGCTAAAAATCATGAAAGCCCAACTTAACTGTGCCATACACTTGTGCATGATCATCCGGTACATGCTAAACTCATGCACCGATATGGTTTAGCTTCACAGTAACGTGGGGTTTGGATGGGCGGGGTGTTTCTCTCACATCTTCCCCTAATGTTTCCTGTAAAACATCACCTTCATTCAACCTGTCAGTTAAATATAGCTATATCAGGTCTGTTGCAGCAGGCCAAACACTGAACTGTGCTGTAATCACGTGGTTGCCCAAAGCAATCATCACACATTTACAGTGCGAGCACACCTGCTCTCAGAGTCAAAGCCAATACGAGCTTACGAGGTGCTTCGGACAAAACTGGCACATGCCTACATTTCTAAAGAAATTGTAAAGAAAATGTCTGTTATGCCCACTGAGCTTTGGCCTGCCTTTCCTTTCTGATGATACTGGCTACAAAACAGTATATTCTCATTTTTTGTATTAGTTTGGGATGAACCAAAATATTTTGGAAGCCATCATACGTTTTGGTCTTTCTTCTGTATCATGATGAATGTGACTCACACAGTTGTAGGCACATTAACTGATGCACAAATACCCTCTAGTGAGTGCTGACTAATTTTGTGCAAGAGTAAGTCATATAGAACAAAGGGAGACACATTTCATGAATGCCTTCCTTTTTTTTTGCGTGTGACTAATTAAATGAATTTTTGTATGTTCTGTTGCAGTCCATGTAGCTTTTTGCAAATACTTCCAAACTAGTTGGTTGCATTTTATGTTTATTACAGTCTAAGTAATCCCAAACACATTCAGTGATGTTGTGGCCTCCATTGTTCTGATAACACCAGCAGCGAGTCTTGATCTTCTCAGTAGTGTGATTAGGGCCATTAACTTGTAAAATGATTACATCCCAATCAAACGTTTTCCAGAGGGTACAAAAACTTGCATTTTTTAGTGTTCATGACATCTTCAAATACAAATCACCAACTCCTGGTGTTGTAATACCTCCCCAAACTTGCAGCTGATCCTCTACCCTGCTTGACTGATGGTGCTAGATGGTTTGAAGTGTCTTTCATTGCTTTGTTGGCATGAGTACTGCCTTCTGCTACTTCTAGAGATCTCAAATGTAGACTTGTCGGTCCATGAAACCTTACTCAACATCTCAGGTGTCTCGTTTGGTATTTTAGTATGTTTCCCCTTTTTTTTTCCTGTTTTCTTTTCTCAGGAACAGTCACACAATTTCAGACCCATGGTGTTGAGTTTCCTTCTTACAGTGGAAGAATGGACAGAAACACCTGTGGATTGTGAAGCAGAGATTGATTTTTTTTCTCAAATATGAGCGCTTTAAGTACTTTTTATCTGATGGTGGCAGTTTGGAGTCTCACTCTCTTGTTAGGAGTCTCATTTTCTGTGCTTTTAATCATTTTTTGAACTTAATTTTTGTAAACTTTTGATTCTCACTTATTTTCTTTGACTTGCTTCCTCTTTATGCAAGTGCATTATCTTATATCTGATCTCCTTTGGCCATTTTAGCACATGAGAAAGACATTTGTAAGGCAGCCGAGGTGTGTTTGGGTAGTTGCTTGTGTGAAAGTGTCTCTTTCAGGGGGAACAGAATGAATGTCAGTGGCTCTTTTGGGAACAGCTTTTGTTGGGAGGACACAGATGTAACATAGGAACACTGCAGAAACAGTTGTAATGTAATGTTAGTTTGGTTTTAAGATTGGAAGGATGAAAGAGTTAAAGCGGCTCACAACCACTAAAGTACAAAAGTAAAGAGTGGACAAATTAAAAACTGATGCTTGATATTGTTATTACTTGGTGTCGGAGGCTTCTGTTCATTTTTCTTTTGAATGTGTTCCCTGCTTTTTTTCTGATGGCGAAAAATGTATAACTTGTTTTTTAAGGCCATTTTGACTGGAAATTTAATAAACCAAAGAGTAAAAAAGTGTGTAGAACTAATTCATGTAAAATTGGTGAAGTGGTCTCCAGTCTTTAGCCCTATTCAGATCTAAAATCCCTGAGAAACTACATTACCGCACCTCCTCATGTAAAACTAACCCTGTCTGAATAGGGATAAAGAAGAGTTTGTGTTCTCTGTGGCAAAAATCAAGCCAATATGCCACGATATGTAACGTACTCAGAATGTAAAAATGACAGAAAATAAGTTTGATTTTATGCAGTGACGTTGACTGTAGCCTGTGAATTCCCAAGCTAATGGTGATTACTTCATGGAGGTAAATGGTTAGGGTGAAAAAAATAATGGCTGAATGAGATGTTTTGACGGTTATACTCTTTTCTGGAGTAAAGCCGGTGCGTGCATCGAGTAGCCGCTTCCATCTCTGTCATTTACCTACACTTAGGTTTCTTATTCCATGTCGGGTCAATCATAAACACAACAGACGTCCTGTGGTAAACTGTCATCACACCACCTTCCCATGGAAAACTAATCTGTGGATGTAGCATTATAACATTATTAGCCTTTTAGCATGTGACTGGTTTGACTCATTATTAATTCAGTAAGCTGTCTGAATGTTGATCTAAAGCCTAGAAATACAAAAAGTGATCAATTAAATCTTAATTCAAGAAGTGAATCAAATATAAAGGATGTGCAGGAGTGGAAAAAGCACTGCTACTGTAGCGACAGCTCATCAGCTTAAAGGCAAGTAAAAATACTAGTGAAGAAAATTACTCAAGTAAGAGTAAATATTATAAGTAATTAATTTGAAAAGCCTAACCGAAAGAACATCTTTATTGGCTACATGGGCCCATAAACTCACCTTGAACGCTAGCTTATGTAAGCAACAGCCTTTTAATGAGCAACTTTTTACCAATCATTTAATAAGCAGCAGCTGTTCATAAAGAACTGTTATTCTAAAATGACAGAATTAAACAAATACAAAAGAAACACAAAGTAGCTGTGTTGCTGAGATTAGTTAGCTAGCCAGTTATTTGCTTCCACAGCTGGTTGGAAGTATTTTTCTAATAGTATATAAAAGTAAAATAGATAGACTGAGTTCTTTGTTATAGAAATGAACTCAAGTAAAAGTAAAACTACTATGATAATTATATCAGTAAAGTACCATTCCAAGAGAACATGTAAGCTACACTTTTGTACAAATGTTTGGAATCATTTTTTGTTCAATAAATGCACAAAATATGTACAATAATACCTTTTTACAATGTGGATTTAAATACTACAGTTTTCCAAAGGATGTTTTTGAATGTTTTATTCAATATTTCAAGACTTCTGTGAACAAGAGGTCATTAAATGATAAATAATATATCGCAAGTCATTTTTTGCCAGGTTATCTGCCTTGGGATTTTTACATTTTGAAGAATTCTTGGGATTAATTTTATTATAAATTCATTCTGGATGTTTTTTTGAGCCTTCTTCTGCTTTGTTCATCGTGCTGATGTTCTTCATGAACATGGCTCAGAAAAGGGCCCCAACTGCCATATTGATGAACAGCCTATGCAAGCTTTCACTGAACAATCTGTTTAACTCACGAATTTAAACTGTTGGTTTCTAGATGTAACTAAAAACTATTTTATCCTCAGGACCTGTCCTGATGAGTGGACCATGCACCCCAGGGGGCCTCTGTAGTCTCTATACACCTGGAAGCTTTTTTTTCCTTTTTTCTGTACTTTATCTGGCTCATTTCCAATGCTGGCAAATTAAAAGCATTCCTTGAATGCCAAAAGTTACTTTTTTGCTGGAATGGATCTGTGTCTGTGGGCTTTCTGACATCTCTGAGATTATTGGTCCAAACTGGAAAGACCTGCTTTTGGAAAGTCCTGTCATCTTCCGTGCAAGTCAATGTGTTTATATGCAGAGTACGTACAAACCTTGATTACTTGTTTTCATATTAGTATTCTGAATCATAGGTTCAAAACCTGTACCAATAGGTGCCTCATTCCTGCATGCACCCTGAAGGCTTGAAAATGCTGTGAAATGTAATTATGTGTTATTAAACTTTAATTTTGTGCTTAATAGTAAATAATTGCCTAATAAAACCCCGGTTAGCAAAAGCACTAGTTACTTGGGCCGTGAAACCTATCTGTATCTAATGACTGATCTATCTATATATGGGTTTAGAGCTTAAAATTAAATGTGCAAAAAGGGTTCTTTGCACAGTGTCATAGAAGAGCCACTTTGGGCTCCCTAAAAAAAAACTTTCAGTGAACTAAAAACTAGAACTAAAATTTTCTACCTTGATCGGGTGCCCACTGCTCGCCAGCCTTCTGGACCGGCTTGACCACCATTGAGCTTCATGCTGTACAACGCTGTGCAAACCTCACCCTCATAAACTGACCCTCCCGAAGATGCTGCTGCTGCTACTGCTGCATAAACTAAAACTAATCTAATTAACCATTGCTCCATCTGTTTTCCCCGTTTTGTACTATTTGTACTGTTGTAAAAAGCGCTATATAAGTAAACTTTGCTTGCTTGCTTGCTAAAAAAAAACTTTTTGGTTCCCTAAAAAAACTTGAAGATGTGAAGCACCTCAATGGAAGTGCCCTGTAATTTACTTACTTATGCAGTCACTCATGTTGAGCAGGGTAAAATTTCTCCACAAGGGGGTGCCTGTGGCAATCCAATAGCTTTTGGTGCTTCATGAAAAGCAATGTTTTGTATCAGTGATCCTGTGTGTCCTAAGTGCAAATGTGGGGACTCTTATTGAGCAACTTATTTAGCATAAAGGTTCTATGAAGAGTCTTTAAATCAGTGTAGAACCGTTACAGTTACATGAATGCCCTTTAAACCTTTACAAGTTTTTTCCACACTGACAAATCTCTTTTTTCAAACATGGTTCTTTGGTCAACCAACAGAAAAAACCCTTTGTGGCACCTTTTTTAAGAGCGTAGGTTGCTTGACATATTCAGTAATTGATGACTGCTGATAATGATCATTGTTTCATGTAGTTTAACTTGGAGGAGGTATGCCATGACTTGGTGCATTTTTGCATGACGTGTTTTATGTCTTCTTTACTTTTACAGAAAAGAGAGACCGCTTCATATGAAACCACTCCCACCTCACTTCCACAGCTGCAACAGATAATAAATTGGATTATGTGCAGCGAACTCTTGAGAAGTTTCATGCAAAACTCAAAAAGCACCTCCCTTTTAGAGCCTCCAGTAGATAACAGCTTATTATGAATAGGATGGACTGTAGTAAAGACTTCAAGGCCTGTTTCCAAGGACACCACCATGCCACAATTCATGCATAATGGAAACTAGAACTTTTTCAAGAAATGTCAACAATTATCGGAACCTTACCTTAGATGTGACAACCAAATAAGGCAATGTCAGATGTTTGATTTTCGAATGACCTTTTCTGTTTTCATATGTATAACACTTATTTAATACACATTTAAGAAGGCTTCTGTTTAAAATGTGACTCAACTTGAAATGATGTATTATACTGTACATTAAGTGCAAATGTAATAAAACACATTCTTTACAAAAACAACTCCCTTTTCATTGTGAAAATAGTGCGTGAAAATAGTGAGTGAATCCAACGTGTCCCTAATGTTAAGATCAGTTAATAAGGACAGATTACAGTGAAATATTCTTAGGGATAGATACTATTAAGCTGTTTCAGTTAACCTGATTCACTGGAAAGGTACGGTGAAATTTAAAATTCTATATTATTGTAATTAAAATTGAAAATGGCATCTTGCATTCGGCAAAATGCAAGAGCAAAAAAAAAAAAAGATAACTATTAGGTAAAATAATTGAAAATAAAAAACCTACCATTTGCCCTGTTGCAGAAGTGTGCACACCCTTCATAATCGGGGCTGTAGCTTTGTTCCAGAGTTTACAGATCAAAATGATGTCCAAAAATAACATCAATAAAAGTAAAATAAACCAGTTGTTCCTAATGTTTTCATGATTGCATCCTTCTGGGATAACTACAGTCCATGAGTAGCTGACAAAGCATTTAAATAATCTCACAGATTACAGATGAGGAGAATGGTATAAAAAAGATACACCACAGAGAATCGTAAAGACTTCCATCAATAGATGGAAAAAAGTGGCATCACAGGGGGACTAACAAGGTCAGGAAAATCATCAAAAGTTGATGACAGGAAAAGAAGAAAACTTATCACGCTACCAAGATGCCTACAGGAACATTGAAAAAGCTTGAGGAAATTCTGGCAGGTACTGGGCAAACTTACCAAATATCCCCCAAATTCTACACGAGTGAGCTTTGGAAGCTTTTTTTCCACAAAACTAATTATCCAGTGCCAATCTAAATTTAGCATTAAATTACCCAGAAACCACTGGGTTCAGTTTCTGGCCAGAGTTGTAAGAGATATATTTGGCACAATAACAATACAGCTCAACAACTAAAGAGCTCCATGTCTACTGTGAAGCATGGCGGCAGGGGCATTATGTTTTGGGGCGGTTTCTCTTCCTGAGGCACAGGGATAAGGTAAATAAGATAGATAATGACTAGTTCAAAATATCACAGTATTTTGGCACAAAACCTGCTGGCCTCTGTCAGAAAGCTGAAGATGAAAAGGACTTTCACCTTCCAACATGGTAATGATTCAAAGCCCACATCCATGTCAACCAAGGAATGGCTTCAAAAAGGAAGGCCAGTAGCCAAGTTTGAGCTCAGACCTAAATGTCATAGAAAATCTGTAAAATGATCTCATGTGCATGGGAGATCACTTGCATTTTGAGGAAACCTGGACATTTTCACATGCAAGAGTGGCATAAAACAGCTAAATCACATGTAAATTTACTTACAAAAGGTCAAAAGGATTTTTCCTAATAGTTATCTACTTATTTTTCTCTTGGATTTTGTTTGTTTACAAAGAAACTGAGTTAACACTTTAGCTTAAATCTTACACTGTTGTTGTGGAAGTCAAGAGAAAAGGCTTGCGAGAGTTTTATTTTGACTTTTTTTATTAAAAATTTTTTACACTATATACATATATGGCTTTCACCCAAAACACACAAGAGCTTATCATAGTATCATTATTACGCAATGTCTTGTAAAGTTGGAGGAAAGAAACGCATTCAACCCTGATGTGTAAATAACGGAATCTGCCAAATGTCACATTATATGAGAGTATATGGTCATGTTTATATACAGGCCACAATCCTTAAGAGACCAATAGGCAAAAGCTGCAGCGGGCCAACTGTTGATACAACAACAACACGTCAGTACTACTAGTAGCATTGCATTCACCATGATTTCTGTTCATTAACATCGAACAGACTTTATGTTGAATGGTTTTCTGAGTTAAGGATTGTGGCTATTGAGCATCAGTAGAATTGCAAGAAACCTGATAGGAGTTTACCCTAGTGTAACTACAACAAACATCTTTGATGCGGCATCTGTCAGAAGCACGTGGATCTCTGGTGTCCGTCCTGTGTAGATCAGGAGAAGGGCTCTCGCAAGAGTGCCTTAGGGTGATCTGAGTTCATGGTTGGTGGAAGGTAAAATGTCTTTTTTTTTTTTTATACCTAGACCATGAGGTAAGATGAAGAATGTTCAAACTGAGTGTCCAGCCGTCTCAGAGAAGGCAGCTGATCTGTGGGAAGCTGTTGGTGTACTGGTTGCTGTTCCACATGTCTGTGTAGCTTAGCATGTCTTCACTGGGCAAACCCGAGCTTAGTTCTGTGTAAAACCGCAGCTCTAGCTCCTCTCCTAAAAGAAAGTAACAAAGACAGTCTACGTCAGTCCTGGCAGCTCCCATAAAAACGCAAAACAATTCATCTGACTGGGAGAGTTTCCAATACACAACGTAGTCATTTTTGCAGGCCAGATAGTTGCACTGCATGCTGAGTTTCTATGTTCACTACAATGGCTTTGGTGAACCTGCTGGAGCAACAAAACATTCCTAGTATTACGACCTACTATCTTATCAGTAGATTCGTAATGCAATGATCATTTACCTGAGTTATCACTCCACTGGCTCTCTGGACTGTGGAAAGATTCTGTCATGCCTACTTCATTGCACAGGAACCCCTTTCCGCTGCTATTGCTTTGAAGCCACTGCGAACTATCAAGTTCCAATTGCCGTGTAATCTGCAGGAGCAAAACACAGAATTTGAGTCGTGCTTGCCAATTGCACACATGCCTGTAAACTGTAAGCAGGCATTTGCATACTAACAAAACAAGGGTATTCCTGACAATGAAAAAGCACAATAGACAGAGTAAGGTTTAGTATAGACCAAAGCCAGACTCACCTCAACAATGGCTTGTTTCTCCTCGTAGTCTGAATTGCAAAGAAAAAAAAGAAAGGAAATGCAATGAATATGATGCATCATGTCATGATAAGGCAGAGTAATAAACAGTAATAAAAAAACGAATAAAACAATAAGACTTCTTTTACCTGTTGAGTGAGCGGGCGAAACCTGGAACCTGCTTGTGAAGTCGTTTGTGCTGTCAGGGCCGATTTCCACTTCGTAACCAGAACAGTCAGGCACATCATAAGTGGAGGTAGCTGTGTCTTGATGGAAAAAAGGCAAACATTTAATTCAAGTCCACATCTAGCAAGCTGGATTCAGTGTTCAAGTAATATTCTGATTTCACTTTTGCTGCTGAGGTAACTTACTCAAGTTTTCAGTGCTGTCCACTGTGTTCTCCTGAGTCCTCATCTCTTTCTGCTTGTAAGTTGGCCCTTCAGTTGATGTCTCCTCCACGTCCATTTTCTCTGTCTTTACCTTCGCCGCCTAATGAAGCAAAAACCAAAAGTTTACATTTATGTACCTACATGTCAGAATATGCTCTCATTAATGGCTTTAGCCTGGCGCCATTGTACAACAATGGTGGTACACGCACTCTTCTCACCTTTCTCTTCCTCCTGCCATCTGCAGTGCTTGGTGACCGCTTGCTTTTGTTCTTCACAACCTGCAGCATGCGGTACACTCGCACGGCCTCGCAGCCTTTGTTGATGCTTTTGTCCTTCACTTCTTCAATGTCTGGCAGGGAGTTCATGGCACAACGGAAATTGGCCTTCCAGGTTTTGGGGTCAGGATCGGTCACTCCTGGCTTGAATTTGCCTGCAAGCATAGTTGGTGTAAGAATGTTGTGCTCAAATTTAAGACCAAGATTGTTTCTCATTTTTGCTTTTTTTTTGCATGTCCTCACCTGTATGGATGGCCCACTGTTTGAACAGACAGGCGTCTTTGTCCATCTCCCATCCGTGGCGCGCGGCGTGCTTCCACGGAATGGAGAACATTTTCTGCTCCTGAAAACAACAACAACAAAGCCATGAGAGATGATACTCTGACTGCCATTTAGGTGGTGACTGAAACTTTGCAGAAGCACCACTATCAACAAGTTACTTCCCCAACTTAGTAAAAGCAAAGCAACATAATAATGGAAACCAATGGAAAACTTGTGGAGAGGGCTGCTTCTTACCTTGTCCACCCAGACGAGTCCGGCGATTGAGTTGGAGTCAATCTTGTCCTCCAGCCAAGGTCGCATGCGCATTCTGGACACAGGCATGGTTCCTAGGGAAGCCCAGAGAGGAACTTGAGTTCTTGAGTTAACGGCTTGCTACATTGCAGTGCCATGCATGCTTTGATTATAATTTATGGTGAGGAAGTAACCAGGGAAAATGTTCCCATGCCACCTATGTGTGCAACAACTCATTAAGCCAGCTTTCAAACTTGCTAATGAAAAAAAATGTACTGCAGATTTGCACTCGAGGTGCTTCATGCAGCATTTCACATGCGTGCAGTGAACATGGCACTAAGTCACACACCATGTGTTGCATGCACACACCCCTTTACCAGAGCTACATTTACAGTGCAGTGCAGCCAGTCTGCACATGCTGAACACAGTAAGAACTAACACAGACCCTCTTAACATACTAGACATTAACCTTACACGACTTTTATGCAAATAGAAAAAAACAAATCAGTTACTGTCTTTTCTACAAGTGTGATACAAGCTGATAAACAGCGCAGAGCAATATGATATGATCCAGTAGAAACACTTACTGAGTATCCTTTGCGTCAGGATATCCGCAAAAAAGTCAGAAACGGGAAAGCTCGGCTTAATTCCACTCGAGTTTAGGTTTAGTTGCTCTCAGCAGTGAGACTGTAAGCTGTGTGAAGAGCGCGCTCTCTACATCGCCTTTTATTCTAAAGCGCGATAAGGGGAGGGGGGGCTTTCCCAACGTAATGAGCTGGCAGCGCTTGGCGCATGCGCAGTGCCCCTCAGATGCAGCCGCGCTCAGACTGAAGCTGCATGATTTCCGAGAAATCATGCCGTTGTGAGCTATGCGTGCTACGTAAGGTTGGGTGAGAGTGTTGTGGCGAGTCGAGTTTTGGGGCTTTGCTTGTTGCGTATTACATGCCTAATACACATGCACGCGCACATTAGGGCTCCTGACTGTTCACCCACATATATTGGCGGAAGCTCAGTTAATTCAAAACACATTTTCAGCACATGTCGAAATCACTGAAGGACCCATATTCTACATCTATATTTTTTTCCTAATTTGTTCGTTTTCCCCCTGATTCCCCCTCACGTTTTGCTTATTTTCCAAGCGATACATTTCTCTCTTATTATTTTCCCTAATTGATTTACATTAGAAGGCGATTGCTGCCATATAACTCACTATACCAAGCCATAACTAATGTAAGTGGGCGTGCTCAAAGCGTTGCAGTATGTATAGGCGGACGTATGCAATTGTTGTGCTTTTTTTTGTGACACCACAAAATCAGTTCAGTTGTTTATTTATTTTTTGTACAGGCCATATGGACTGGAGAGCGCATGGTATATTTTAAAACTGTTTATATTCTTCATAAAACACTTTTAAAAAGGACCTACGCATATGTATACATACATAAATAAATAGCCTACATGAAGCAAACTTTCCAAATATCCAAAGCATGCAGGAAATATACTATGCCCCCTACTTAAACTCAGCAAACTGCAAAAGCTGGCTTTATTCAAAGTTATGCCAAAGAGGATTTCTTGCAAGACGCGCTAGACAGAGAATGTCACAAACAAGGAAGGTTAGAATCAGGTCAGAGTAAGAAAGCACTGGCTTTCCGGGAAATGGGTTTTAGTTAAAAGGTGCCGATAGAGGGCGCCGGTAAGCGCTTTATAGTAAAACGGGTTGCTTATTAGAAAAGGATGTTTGGACGCTGGAGCACGTCCGACATGTAGGGAATGCTAACGCTACGCCACACTTTGAGGAAATGCTTGCCTTAGGCTTATGGCCAACCGCAGTCAGCCGCAGACCTTCCTCGTCAGAAAATAATGATGAAACAGTGCTCTGGAAGCAGGAGCGCGGCTTTTGCTGTCACATATCCCGCCCTGAAGCTAAGTCGCATTACAAAACCACACACTGCTATTGTATACTAATGAATGTCCTTCTAAAGGTACCTTTGACACGCGATTTAAGTCGACAGTGTGCTGTATTGCCCGTTCTCTCTCTCTCTCTCTCTCCTGAGAGCTTGTTTTTCCTCAGCAGGTTGTTTGACTCCCGCGCAGTAGCCGAGGAGGGGGGCGTGGTCGGGAATGAGGAGGGGCGGCTTTCCTGCGGGATTTCTGCTCTGTAAAGCACTGGGTTTTCCCAAAGCCAGGCCAGTGATATTCCCCTCGGAATCCCATGTGCCTGCTGTCAAACTATAAAACAGCTTACGGGAAATTCAAAAGGCAGCACTGCCATTCTGCCCGAAGCCCACTCCAGTGCCCAGAGACCGGAAGTACATCTTAGACTGGACACTGAAACATGAACACTAAACATCTCTCCTTACTGAAGCGCAGCGCTTCCCGATAGCCTCCTCGCACGGCCACTTCGCCTGTCCATGCCTCAGTCAGCAAGGCAGTTATGCTCTCTCTGTAATGAAACATGCTGTCAGTGTTCTCCCACTGTATGCTCAGAATAGTTTTTTGTAATGTAATGTGGCAATTTACAATGTAACGACCACGTCAAGGTGCCACCCATAATGCCAGCATTGCACGTCATTAAACAGTGGTCTACTGCAAGAAACAGCACCATATACATACTGAAGGAGAGCAAAAAGCATGTAGACTCGCTACAAATGGACAACCGTTTGTTTTCAAATGTTTTCAGAAGACGCTTTGACTTTCTGGCCTCGTGTATTATACACTTGTGTGCAAAAGTTAGGGCACCCTGCTCAAATCGCAAGTTTTGTTGATTTTATGTGAAAATGAATGCACATCCTCTACGGAATTCAACATACTTGAAAAAAATGGAACATACAGAGTGGGCCTATGCCTACTTTTGGCTCATAAACTCTGCAAATACAGAAATTAATTACAATATTATAGTTAGGTATATGTAGAGGATATGTTAACTTATTTTTGTGTAGAAAACTAACAAAATATGTCATTTGATTGGGGGTGTTTGACTTTTGCATATAGCACGTATCCAGTTGAGAAAACCTAATTCTAATCACTTTTAGCCCTGAAACCATTTGATAGCACGATAGATTCCGTATCTCATATACTATATCCAACTAAATAAACTGACTTAAGTTTCATTTAAGCAGTTGCTAGCTTATCTATAAAGGCAGTGTTAGTGTTTTGTAATGTTATAATTATGTGTTAACCTTGCACTGGAGCACTGTACACCAACAGGCTGTTTGTATTTCACTGTGACTTTATTATTGTACTTTAGAACAAATTAGACCACCCATACCACGTGGCGCATCCGTATCTCAAACATACTGCCAAAATAGTTTCAGAAATGAACTCAAACAGATAACTGCCTTCATTTGACTCTGTAACCCTGATGTACGCCGTGGAAATAATCAAAATGCTGCTGTTCTAGTACTTTTGTGCTACTGTAGGTTTTTTTGGTCTCTTGGGGTGAACAGCTCATTCCTAATGAGATCCAGATGAGGTTTGTAAGACTGTCTGGGGTCAAAGAATACTTTCTGCGGGGGGCAAAAAACACCACCCATGATATGTACCAGAAACCCAACCCCCACAAACATCCATATCTCATCCAGCATATCAGGGAGGACAGCTTTGGCCCAAGCGGCTG